ATATATATATATATATATATATATATATATATATATCACAATTTATTTACTTATTGTGGCATAGACATCACTTTTTAGCTAAATCGAGCATTCAGACAGATTTTTTTTTTCTGTGTTAAAGAATCATTTACACAGATTTACCACAGAAATTCCAGAAAGTTTAAACTTTCCACTGGATGTACAATTTTTGGATATATAATTCCATGAAATATCATGATTGCATCTTAAGATGCTGGAACACACAAAAAGAAATCATAAGTATACATTAAAATAAAATAAAAAATTATGTAAAAAGCTAAACTATTAATAATAATTAACAATGACAATGATATTACTACTACTACTAATAATAGTAATAATGGTTGCATGATATATGAATGATATTGATAATATCATGAATTCCTAGGGACAATAAAAGCTATAGAACCCATGTAATATGAAACGTGATAATGACTTTATTTATATTTGATGTATAGGGAAAATACACTAAACGCATGTTTTTATAGTTCTCAAATAAGTAAAAATGTATGTAACCCAATCAAAAGAACAACATTGAGGTCGATCAACTAATTAAATCCACTGCTTTCCAATTTTAAGCACGCAAATGCAAAGAAAGTCATCATGTGTAGTGTAAAGTAAAAGATGAGCCGTTCTCTGGCAGTCTGGTTCCCTGTCAGTGCGCCTTCATGAGCGAATCATTCACGGATTGCACACGACCAGATGACAACAAAACAAGCCTACAGTGAGAGAGGCTGTTAGCTAGTTAGCTACTTCAGATAAACAACGGCTGGTTGAGTCTCTGTGTTATTTAACCAGGCGTAGAGCTTAACCCTTTACAAATTCGCAAGAATTTAGGCAACCTGTATAACAAATGATGTTTGTCTGTCGGTGTCTTGGTTAATCAAGCTGACATTAGCTAAGTGGCTTGCCAGGCTACCTCTAAGTATGCCCAGTTTTAACGGGTCAGTCAGCTAGCTCTGGTGCTAGCTCGTTAGCTAGCCACCTCGCCTTGGCGAAGACCGAGACAGAGATGCGAGCAAAGTGAGGTAAGAAGCAGTAATTCGTTTTATTAAGTTTCCCTTGTATGTATTCCCATAACTGAATTCTTGCATTGACCTTAATGTTTCAGGACAGTCTAACAGTTTTTATCAGATTAGTCGACATTAGGCAATACTGACTTGCACTAGCTACAGTTCGCAGTTAGCTAGTTAGCATAGAAAGCAGTGAATATTTGACTTTCTAGCTGCTAGCGGCAGCTGTTGGAGGCTACATCTTCATGACAAACTGAATAAAACATTAAAACGAATAAAATAATCCGAGTAATTAGTCATATCTACACAAGTGTACGTTTAATCTGTGAGAGGCCCATAGAAACTCAGCGTAACGGTATCACCTAAAGAGGATAAACAATCAAACTATCGTTTATAAACCTTTTTTTCCTCTAATAAAGTCGTTATAAAGGCATATTTGTGGATTTGTTTTACTGGCAGCATATTGAATCTCACCGTCGGCTTAATAACTTTCAGCAAAAACTTTGTTTTAGGTTTTGTTTTGTTTTTTTGACAGTGTCAGTTTGTCTCTAAGGAGACCAGCATTTTATAACCACTGGGGATATCTTAAGGGCTGGACGGTAAACCAAAATTAAACACAATCTCACCGTGACTCAGCTGACGCAGTTTGAAGGAAAGCAACAATTACATGCGTTTCAAAACAAATGATTTTCCCTTAAAGTGAAGTTCAATTTATATAGATATCCATAGCTGCTTATTAAAGGCACCATGCTTTCTATTTTAGGCTGAAATTCTAGCTTGAGTTGTTGCATCATTTTACATTTAGATAAAGTATTTTTTGACAGAAGTGAAGTTAAAGACACAGAAATAAACCAGCCCTTTTATAAATCTGCAATGGTTTAACCTTGAAGTTGTTTATTAAATTTTTTAATGAATAGATTACACAAAATGTATCTACAAATAGGGCTGGGTATTTTCGCCAAAGTCCTTAATCGATTCGATTTTGATTAATCCAGTTCTAAATCGATTAATTTCGATTCGATCGGTTTTTACAATAATGAAAGTGGTTAGACTGTGTTTCAAAATACTTATGTCTTTTAATTTTTCCTGTCACATTAAACACAAAGTGCAAACAATTTAAACTTGAGATCTGACCAAAACTGTCACATAAGTGCAAACTTGTTAGTGAAAATTGAAAAAGTCCTCAGTCAACCTATTGGGTATATTTGCAGCTGTCTGGCTTGAAGTAAGCTTGAGTGCATCTTTCCTGCCCATTTAAATGTGAACGTCACGCACGTCACTATACAACTAATCGATCTCATTCCCTAGACATCGATTTTGCAAAAATGTAAAGGAATCGATTCAAAATCGATTTTTTTTTTTACCCAACCCCATCTACAAATGGATCTTTTCATTTAATAAATGCATATCAACTTGCCATACTCTGGTTGTAATGTTCTTCAGTTTACAAAACACAATATTTCCTTGAACGACATAAGTTGTGCATGATCTAGGTTGCTCCTTTCTACATCACACTGAGCGATTCCTATTTTGTAATTTTGCAAATATAATTTTGTGGGAGTGTATCTAACCTTATTATTAGGTTGCTCTTTTTCTTGGTTGTTATTTAAAACCATGATTCTTCCTCTGATGCCCTGTGGCCTGGTTGACTCTTGACTAAAATGACAAAATATGCAACCTTTTTTTTGCAGATATACATATACAAAAGATATATGCAAATGATAAAATCTAAATTTAAATCATCATCTTTCCATAAAGAGTCACTCAATAGCAGGGATCTAAATGCCTATGTTTTCTGATGATTTTCAATATTCCAATGATAAATAACTATTTGTCAAAATAGATTCCAACTTGATGGAATTATTTTGAACCAATATTTCAATTTTATTTCTATTTTCATTTGCACTAACCACAAGCATATAAATGTTTCAGTGTTTTCAGGACCCTGATGGCTGGTTTGTCCAGAGTCCATTGTTGCAAAGCCTAACTATAACTCTGTGTAAAAAAAAATTGCTCACTTCTATTTTTTTATGCCTGCATGCTAGCTTTAACTGTTTTTTTCCCTCCCTGTGGTAGCAAACCCACTTTAAACATTATTGCTCCCACCTAAAGGGCTGGAGTGAGAAATTTGATGCCTTACTTTATTGACTTTTGATGTGAATATAGTGACAAAAATTGAGTTCCTCTTCGATTTGAAAATTTCATTTTGTGAAATTGTGATTATATTACAAATGTAAATAATTGCACAGCCCTACAACTTAAAACAAAACATTTAACGGTTAAAAAACCCCTACAACGAATCAACTCTAGAGATAAAGCCAGTTTCCTTTTTCTTCTACAACATACAAGATATGTAAAGTATGCTTTCCATTTAGACAACCAATTGGCACACAGTAATATTGCAATGAGATTATATTATTAATATATTTTAAAGTCCTTCTTCAAACTTTTAGTTTATTGATTTGTTTGGTATCTCTACAGATGTTTGTCAATATCATAGATCACAGAGAGGTTATGAATTAAGTCCCATTCTTTGCGAAATGGTAGATATTTAGTCGATTGTTTAAACAACAGTTGCTTGTACTGCTTCAAATCCAGATTCTACCTGTGGCCAACCATTGGTAGCCTCTGGGTTGGTTAATTCTGGGTTTCGATCACATGTTGGTAATGACATAAATTACTCCTTTGTTAAAGAAAATGTTTAATGTTTTTTAATTTTTTTTATTTCACAGGGCAGAGGTGCATGACTAATGAACGACAAAGGCAAGGTTGAAGAACTCTGGGAGATTCACCATGAAGCTGTATGTGTTCCAGGTCAACAATGGCAGCACATTAACATTTGACACCGATCTTGCTGTCCAGACGTAAGAAGCTTGGATTCCGCAAAATATATTACGAAACTGTTTTCTTTTCATCCTGCTTATTTTGACCCAGATAACTGCTGTCTTTGTTTCAGTGTACTGGAGCTTAAACATGCCATCTATGCCAAATATAAAGTCGCAGTTCAGCATCAGGTCCTTGTTGTCAATGGAGGGGAATGTATGGCTGCAGACAGACGGGTCTGCAGTTACAGTGCTGGCACTGTAAGTTTATGCAAGCTACTATTTAAGCATATTCTCCCTTAAATGTTCAAAGGCGTGACACTTGACTTTTGAAACACCTGTCCTACTTTGTTTTTAAGGAAACCAACCCCATATTTCTGTTCAACAAAGAGATGATCTTATCTGACCGTGATCCGACAATCCCAAAAACCACCTTCTCAATTGAAAGTGAGATTCAGGTTAAGGTGGAAGAGTCATTACTGATGCCAGCTGTTTTTCACACCGTTGCCTCACGAACACAACTTGCTCTGGTAGGTTTCAGTCTTCTTAAATCTTTTATTGTTTTTTTTTAAACTTATTTAAAAGTAACTATTCATTTTTAAACAATATATAGAGATTCAACAGTGAAGTACATCTGTTCTACGGTTTATTTACTTATTTTTTTTATAAAAAGGACATTTTCAGTTAAAGAGACTTGATTTGTTGGATTAAAACATTGTATCAGACAAGAAAATTATTCTATAAATGAGGGATTTTAACATTTTTTAATCTCATGCCATTTTACCCAGATGGCTTGAATTCATTAGGGTTGGTCTGCCAAAGGCTAGAAATCACTTCAGCTAATGGTAACCTGAACTACTTAAAATGGCATATTTTAATTTATCTCATTTTAAATACTTAAATTTTTGGTTGATGAAGCTATTTTCCAGTAGCCCATTTGGGGGCAGTCATAAATCCTAGAAGTTTCTGTCCCAGTTGGTCCGTTGATTGTAAAATGTTAAAAATATAGACATTTTCCCACCCTGCCTTTAAGCATACATGTGCTACATGAAACAAAGTGACACACAGGATTTTCCATACACAAACATGCTAACGGTTTTAATATTTTATTTATTTTGCCAGCACTTGTTATATTCACGAGCCTCCAGAAAGTTTGACTTCATGCACAGAGTCACATTAAAAAGCTCTGAAATAATATTGTTATGAAATGTTCTCTCTTCCTGGTCCCTGAAGGCTAAGAGAGGATTTTTGAAAGCTGGCTATCATTAGGTTCTTGACTTCTTTGGAATGGTGTTGCTGTTTTAATGGTAAAATGAGCTTTTATTAAGAAATTGTTGCTTAGATATTATGGCCTATTTTATAGTCCTACAGAAGCCGGATGCTGATGGAAATGTAGTTATAATCTACCACGCTATATGAGCCCTGCATCAATCAGAATCAGATTTGCTTTATTAATGCCTTTGGGAAATTCTTTATGAAGAAATAAACGGGAGCGTCTGCAAAAGGCTGCACACGAGTTGATGCACGGCACTAAGCAACTGGGTCACTGTCTTTAGTGACCCTAAAGCCAGTGCTTTAGTTACAGACAGGTGTGTTAACAAAAAAAAAGATAATTAAAAAGGGCTCTACTGCTTCTACTGCTTTTTCATTTCAACTTTATCCATGTACACAGTGTTATTATTTAAAATCTTTTTTGAATAAGAATTATGGCCAGTATGTGTCTTTGGTTTGTACATGTCTGGGGATGTAAAATAATGTTTTACTATTTCATTTTACCCTGATTTTCCTTCCTTTTCAATCTCTCTAGGAAATGTTCGAAGTTGCCAAAAAACTTTGCTCCTTCTGTGAACGTTTGGTTCATGATGAGCATCTCCAACATCAAGGCTGGGCAGCCATCATGGCTAATCTGGAGGACTGCACCCTGTCCTATCAGAAGTTGCTCATGAAGTTCAACACTGCATACACAAATTACCAACAGGACTTAGAAGAAATTAAAATTAAACTTTCAAAGTAAGTGCAAAGGTGTCAAATACGCGGATACCTGGCATATGTGGAAGCACTGTATGTACTGTATATATCCCATGCACTTTTTTTCTTCCTTTGGAACCTTCTTCTTATTGACTATTTGAGCATTTCTCCACTGTGAGATCAATAAAGACAATCAATCAATCAATTATTCACTTAACTGAGGAAATTAATTTTAAAAAATATATAATTATTGTGGTTTTTTTTGTCATACTTCTAGCAAAACACCTGCTTTTAATTTTTAGTAACTGACTCAACATTTATGGTTTACAACTTAAAGAAGAAAAATTATGGTTAATAAACGTGTGTTTCAGTTAACACTTCCTCATGTGTGCAGGTTAGGGACCTCGGTTTCTGTAATGGCCAGGATACCTCTGCTGGAATGTTTGACGAGACACAGTTACAGAGAGAGCATCGAGAAGTCCAGTTCAACTCCAGAGAAAGATTCAGATGAGACCGAAGAGGAAAAATCCACAGACTCCGTCCTCTGTGCTACTCAAGCCCTGACATCCTCTAAATCATCGCCACCCTCGTTTGCAACCGGGAACGCCCCATGTGAGCCAGAGGGAGACCAGGAGACTAACAAAATGACTGAGAGCGGTGGATTGACAGCAGCACTTTTAGACGATAACACTCCTGAACTCCCCTGCCAGTCTTCTTTCAACGTGACACTATTGGACTGGATCAACGTGCAAGACAGACCTAATGACGTGGAATCGGTGGTGAGGAAATGCTTTGACTCCATCAACAGGGTGAGCATTTAGTGTACCGACATTACTTACTCTAACCTCAATGGAAGACATGGATTTATAGCTGTGTTGCTTGTTTCAGCTTGACCCTCGGATTATCCAGCCTTTCCTGGCAGATTGCCGGGATACAATTGCAAAGCTAGATAATCAGAACATGAAATCCATCAAAGGGCTTGAAGACAGGTTGTATGCTCTAGACCAAATGATTGCAAGCTGTAAGAAGCTGGTGAATGAGCAAAAAGAACTTGCTCAGGTATTTGCAAAAAGACTTATGAATGATTTATATATATATATATATATATATATATATATATATATATATTAAGCTATTTTCCTCAACTGTGCTTTCCTGCTTTTGCTTTCAGGGTTTTTTGGCCAATCAGAAGCGAGCTGAGAACCTGAAAGATACATCCGTTTTGCCTGACTTGTGTCTGAGTCACACAAACCAGCTGATGATTATGCTGAACAACCACAGGAAGCTGCTAGACATTAAGAAGAAGTGCACCACGGCCAAACAAGAGCTGGCAAACAACCTTCAAGTCAGACTCAAGTAAAGCTGATTTTTTTTTCTCTTCATGATATTTTTTGACACAGTTCAGGTGATCAGTTTATCACTGCAAAAACAATATAGAAATAAGTGCAAATTTTTCAGATCAGTGTATTCAGCCTTCATTTGAGGAGGTAAATAAAAAGATCTGTCAATGAAATTAGTGTTTTTACTCTTACAATAAGATAATTAGATAATATGCGCTTGAAATAAGACAATGCAATTGTTTTTTCTTATTTTAAATGTAAATGGTCTTGTTTCATTGGTAAAGTGTCTCACTTACCTCTTCAATTCATGGATAAATGCACTTAAAAAAAAAAGATATATTTAGATCTCCGTATTTTGCAGTGTATTCATGGTCACCCTCTGTGCATTTCATAAATTTAGATCTTTTAATGATGTATTTGAGACTTTTTTTCTAGGGTGAAATCATCATGTATAATGGAAAATGGAAAACTAGGAATTGGGTGCAAAAATTTGAATTTATTTTGGATTTTCTTTGATCTCTGTATGGTCAAAATCATGAACACAGACTTAAGTATAAACTTACACCGTTCCTAGTGTTTGATCAGATGACGAACTACAATTTCTGTTGAGATTAGCAAGGAACCTCAGTAGGGTTCGTACAGATAATTGAAAATGGTTGCATTTTTGGCAAGAATTTGGCTTTTAAAGAGAATCCATACATTTTTAAGTTGTTTCAGGTCAGAGCCATTCCCCAAACCTAATGCCAGCCTGACTTATTTGTTCCAAATCTCTGAAAATCTGTTTAGGATCCTTTTCCCGTTGGAAACCCTGATGTGTCCCTGCTTTAAGTGTTTAGCTGGTGATTGAAGGGAAGGTTGTCCTTCCTCATTCTTCTTTCCTTGTTGATCGATAACAGACTACCTCTGATAGTGAAACGGCTCCACAGCATAACTCAACTCCCAAATCTTTTCCAAGTTATTAATTAGGTAGTTGGACAAATTTGTTTGCTCCAACAATGATTCCAGTCGTACATCAAAACAAATTTTCTGATCTGATAACTAGAAAAAGTATAGGGTTTAGGTGAAACTGCAAAGCAATAATTGACGTGTATTTGAGCCTTTATTTATAACTTTGACCAGTTCTGGATTTAAGAAACTCCACAATTGAATCAAATGATTGAATGATCTTTCAGCACAGGGGAAAAAAGTTTGTGTTTATAATATGTGTTTATAAAGGAGCAATATTAACTATATCCATATTGAAAGTTAACTCAGACCTTGGTTTGGGTTGTAGATGGTGCTGCTACGTGATGCTCCACGCAGATCAGGACGGGGAAAAGCTTCAGGCTCTTCTGCGACTTCTGACTGAGTTAATAGAGAGAGTGAGGGTGGTGGATGCCCTCAGCACTGTGCCCCAGATGTACTGCTTGGCGGTTGTGGAAGTTGTCAGGAGGAAGATGTTTCTGCAACACTACAGAGAGGTCAGTGCTTATTGCCATTACAGCCTTTTCTATTACTGTCTGTTGGTCCTTTTTGCTATTATCAAACTGATCTGTTAATGTATTGTTTTTTTTTTGTTTGTTTGTTCTGTTTTTTATTAATTTCAGTTTTTACATTTGTTGCATAAATATAAATCAGCCTTTTGTTAAACATGTCCCACTTTTTTAGTTTAACAAAACCTGTTAATAGGAACCCATTTTTTGCTGACCTTGTAAAAAATTGTAAGAGTGGTTTATGTTTGTAAAGTTTTTCTTTTGTTTTTACATATCTTTGTAAATATGTACATTTGTTTTCTCAATTTTGTCAGTGGGCGGACGCCCTTGTTAAGGATGGGAAACGAATGTATGAGGCGGAAAAGTTCAAAAGAGAATCCTTTGGAAAACTCTTCAGTAAGTACCTTTATAAACCATCAGGTAATATTAATCCTAGGATCTAATGGACCTATGAAGTAATATTAACTCTTCACTGCTCCTTTTTCCGCTTTTAAGGGAAGTCTTTTCTCCGAAATCGATTGTTTAGAGGACTTGATTCTTGGCCTCCAACTTCGTTTTGTGTAGGTTTCGAGGGAAATATGTTTTTGTCTCTCATCACCATTTATTGTGTTTTAAGGCGTATTTTTTTGTTTTCTCTGAATAATTATCCAAACTACGGCTTCTTTGTTACAGACGCGTAAACCCAGAAGGTTTGATGATGAACTTCCAGACATCTCACTTGATGACCTGCAGTACTTGAAATCGTGTTGTCCTGTTGAGGTGCAGCCTTTCCTAATGTAAGTCGCTGTCATCAAGCACCAAACTGTGATTAATGTACACCTAAATGTGACAGGAGTTTTAACCATGAGTTATAATTTATAAAATTACTTTTTTGGTCTGTTAATTTATTTTTTTTTGTTCTGTAGGATTCCTGCCATGTGTGACTTTGAGCCCTTAAATCGCCATGTAGAAACACTTCATAAGCTGGTCCAAGCCGCGCAGAGTGTCGACGAAATGTCTCGAACTATCACTGATCTATTGAGTGAACAAAGGGTAATGCCAGTTTTAAAATTCAAACCAGAAATACATCCGTCAGAAATTCTTTTTTGACAGCTATGACCTCTGATCTGCATTCATGTTTTGTCTTTCCTTTTTTTTTGGTCTTCCTAAGCACTTATTATTCGTTTTATTAGCAGATGCAACATGGCTCCATATAAATGGGAGAGCAGATTTTAACCAGATGATTATATTAGAATTTTCAAGCATCTTTTAATAACTTGAGTTAGACATAAGAGCAGCTAACTTTACAGACACAGGAGTGACCATGGGTATTCCTGGGAGATGTGTACAATCTTACCTCTACTCTAAGATTTCCAAAGGATGTCAGCTTTTCTAAATCCATAATTGTTACAGAAGCTTGTTACAGAAAGGTTGAAAACTTGAACGCATAAATCATATTTCTGTTGTAATGAATTTATTCTCTTATCTGCCGAAAGTCTTGGTGTGTTTTGCTCTCTCACCACTGGAAAAAAACAAAACAAATGTGTATCATATACAGTTTACTTTTAGATCTTTCTTGCTTCTTACAGAGCTACATTCCTTTTACTTCACTGATACTGACAGCTGAAGGCTGTTCACTGCTACCTTTTTGGGACATCAGTATTTTGCATTCTCTGGTTGTAAAAAGATTGAATTAACTCCATCTATTGTTTTCCCAGGCATCCTGTAGTCAGAGCACTCAAAGATCAACGGCACAAACTCCACAGGCTGAGAGCAGGCCTGGGACCACAACTCCAGTGCCCTCCAAAACACCTCTCTCACTTAGCCTTCAGGGACCAGGCTGCCAGCCCCTCCATGTACCCGTGCCAGCTCCTTTAGAGGATCTCTCCCCAGACAGCATTGATGCACAAACATTTGATTTTGAAACCATAGGCCATCCAAACATGGATCCTGTCCTGCAGCAGGGATCCCTGGACTTGGATTCTCTTGCTGAAAGCCCTGAATCCGATTTTATGTCTGCTGTCAACGAGTTTGTGATCGAAGAGAATATGACCTCCCCTAATCCCATCAGTGACCCCACTAGCCCTGAAATGATGGTAGAGTCGCTGTACTCCTCAGTTATTAACGCCATTGACAACAAGCGAATGCAGGACACCACTACGCTGGAGAAGGAGAACTCAAGGATTGCTAGCCTGAAAAATGCTCTTGAACAGTACAGATGCACTGCAGAGGAGTCCCACTCCAACCTAAGACGTGTAAAGGATGACCTCCTTTACTTAAGAAGTTCAGTCTTAAAAGAACAGCAGGATTTTGGGTTGGCACTGTGCAGCATGGCCGCAGAAGTGCGCAGCACTGTTGAACAAATTAGCCAGAGTCACAAAATCGAGTCAAACGAGCAGCATAAACAGGAGCTTCTCCTCGTTCGGCAGCAGCTGGAGAAGCAGGTTCAGGAGCTGACCCAAGAAAACCAAGTAAATCAGAATATTGTGCGAGATGTCCAACGTGCGATGCTGGAGCTGGAGGGCCTTATGGAGCGCAAAGAGAAAGAACTTACACAGCTGGAAAGCGAGAGGGAGCGATGGATTGAAAAAGAGAGAAACTTTGCTGATAAGATAAAAAATCTTGAACAGCTCCACTGCGATCAAACCGAAGAAATCAAGACGCTTTCGACTTCAAAAGATTCTCTGGCGACTCAGCTTGAAAACCTGCATTTTGAGATTGAACGGAGTCAGCAGAAAATCAGACAGGAGTTAGAAGCTGTGTCTCAGTGCCATTTAAAAGAGTTGGAGGATAAACTGGTGCAGGAGCACAAAAAAGAGCTAGATAGCCTGAATAAAAATAATAAGGAAGCGCTGGAACATCTCACTGAGGAAAATAGTACAAAATTAACCGAGGCAGCTGATCACCACGCTAGCGCCATTAAAGACAAGGACAGTCAGATCAAAGAAATGGAAGCTCGGCTGACGGAGCTTGCAGAACTCCGTTGTCGACTAGAGGTAGAGCTGGCCCTCAAAGAGTCTGAGACAGAGGAGGTGAGGATCTTATTCGAAGAAGCCAAGATGCAACAGGCAGAAGCTGTAAAAAACCAAGTGGAGGCTGAGACCAAAGTGCTTAGAGATGAGCTGACAGATCTCAAGAGGAAGCTTGAAGCTAAAAACGAGGAGTATGAAGTGGACCTAGCAGAGCTGAGGACTCTGATGAGGATTGAAAAGGACCACTGCATCTCAGAGCTGGTGGACAGACATGAGGAAGAGGCTCTTATGTTGCACGGCAAAATCTCCGCCCTACAGCAGCACTCCCAGGATCTTAATAAATATCACGAACAGCAACAGGAGACGCTTAGAGAGGAGCTTGCTGCCCTGAGCGAAGACAAAGAAAAGCAGTTCAGGAGTTTCCAGGAGCTTGAGCAGGAGTTGAGGACTGTTATCAAAAATTTGCAGGCAGAAAATGATCTGCTCTCTAAAAACCTCGAACAGGAAAGACGTGCAGCTCAGAAGGAGGAAGCCTCGAATGTTGTATCAATGGAGGCCTTTAAAGAGTTAGAGCAGCAGAAGGAGGAGATGGAGAAGAGACTTCTGGAAAAAAATAGGCAACTTGAGAATGAGCTTCATGAGAAGAAGCTTTCTGAAAGGTAAAAGCTGGATATTAATGATCCAAAACAAAAAATCCAACTCTTTATAACAGGCTTGGCCTGATATGTGTATTATCCTGAGTTCAAAACATATCTATGTCTAGAGTAAAAAAAACTATGAAAATTAATCTTTCTATAGCTTCTCTTTAAAACAGAAGATCAAAAGATATTCATGTTGCATTTCAGAAATACCACATCATTGATACCTTTGTTAGTAGTTATTAAATGCTTATTAAACTGAATATTAGACGTTTCTCATTATTCCACTTTTTAGAGTAAAACAGGGAACAGAATAGCTATCAAGACAAGTCATGGGACTCCCTAACAAACCAGAGGTTCCCCATCTGACATGCTGCTCATAATTAAGCTATTTTTATATAACTTATATTTTTTTTATTAATAGAAATTAAAAACACAAAATCACCCTTTTTTAAAGCAAGTAAAAGCGAACCTTACCTCCTTTAAGTCAGCTGACAGGCAGTACTCAATAATATTAATTAATTAATAATAATATTGTCGACTCCTCTCACTGGTACTTTCTCTGGTAGCTCATTAAGTTTGTTTTTTCTTTTCTTGGTTAATTAAAAAAAACTTTTAACCTGCCTGTTAACTTTGGCTATTTTCTGTTAAGTAATACTTCATCTTTTAAGGGAAATCAAGTAAACTGCAAATTAGCTGTGTTTTATGCATTTACCCTGATTGACGTGCAAAGGTTTTACCTGGAAACTGTGTTTTTCAGTGAGGAAGGGATGCCGCTGCATGCTGAGGACCGTGCAGGTGCTGCAGCACCTCTGTCTCTAGACTCAGCCTTACAGGAGCGCCTGCAGCAGGAGAGGGCATCCCTGCAGTCCCAGATTGAGCTGTTGGAGAAGCAAAAAAAGGAAGAGATTCAGAACCTGAAAACATCACTAATCGCAGAGCAGCAGGTGGGACTTCAAGTCTTGTTGCTGGGATGATTTTGAGAAGCTATTACATTTTTTTTAAGAAAAAACTTTAATGTTTTCACATTTTGTGTATTCTGCTTAAAAATAATAATTTGGATATCTTTTTTATTTATTTATTACAAGACAAACTTCAACACCGTTCTAACAAGAGAAAAGTTGAAGAAGGAGCAGATCATCAACGACCTCACAGAGAAGTTACGAAAAGTTACCCAGCAGCAAGAAAAGGACAAAGGTAAGCCTTTGGGTTTAGAACCTGTGTAGACATTGTGTTTAAGAAAACTACCCTGAATGCTTCTCATCTGAATACGCATTGTTGACATACAACTAAATGATTTATTAACAATTGTAGAACTAACATTAAAGCTAATATCTTTTACTCTGCTCCTCTAGTTTTAATATATGGTCCTCATAGGCCTGTCAGTTTTTCATCTTTGTTTCTCTGTTGCAGCTCTGATAGAGACGCTGTCTGAGGACCGAGCAAGTATGATGCAGGAGAAAAAACAACTGGAGGAAGAGCTCAACCGCCTGCGCAACTCTGCACTGGTCTCTTCAGCCTTCTTCCCGTCCAACTCTGCCCAAGACCTCTCAGAGGCTGGAGCAGCAGGAAGAGCTCTGCCTATTGCAGGGGCCTGTTCACCAGAGACGCCTGCAGAAATGGACCGACTAGCCCCTGTAGCAACATTCAGAGATGATGAACATGTCGATTCAGCAGTAGAAGCAAGCTTGGTCGCTGCTGAGTGAGTTAACTTTTAATAAAACAGTTTGAAATATGAGAAGGTTTCCTCTGACATTGCTTAGACACCAGGCATCTAATTCATACACACTGGCGATGCATTGTCTCTGATAGCGGCAAAGGGTCATTGGACTAACAATCCAGCTGATTTTTTTTTTTCTATTTTTAACCACATTAACCTTTACTGGGCTTATTTCAGCTTTGAAATTTGGTTTGCTTTACATAAAAAGGTAAGACTTTTTTATTTTAGTGGCCAGTGGTCTTGTATTCCCCTCATAGTTGAGGACTGAAAGAAGCTGTGTTTACTTCAAGTTTAAGTTTCATAAAAACGTTGTTAAAGAAGGATTTCAAGCAGAAACCAGCCAGCTGTGGATGGATAGAGACACATTTGACAGTAGACAAGGTAGGATAAGATCAGAGAGAAAATGTTTATTGTTTCCTCTTTATTCCGCCAAGAAGGCCCATGAAAACGAAACATGCATATGTCTTGATTTTCCTCCTGTTATTGATTCAGTTAACCTCTGCTGTTTTTGCTCCTAGTGACACCATGATGTCTGAAGAGAAGCAGCGGATAATGTTGCTTGAGAGGGTAGATATGCATTACTTTAATTGGAAGCTTTTTTTTTGTTTTTTGTCTTCATTTTCCATATGTTTCATTTATGTGTTGCAGACTTTGCACATGAAGGAAGAAGAAAATAAGCGCCTCAGCCAACGACTGGTTAGTTGATTTATCATAAGGTTCCTACACAATGATAAAACATATGACATATTTTTCCAGGTGTGGTGATGTATGTAAATTGAAAATAAAATAGAAACATATAACATATTTCCATAATTATTTCTTGTTTCAGTGTCAAGAAGATAAATACCTGAAAATGAATTGCTTTTTAACTAGTCCACCTTTGATGTTACATGATAAATGCCTATCCAGGACGGAACCTAACTTTTCCACTAGGTGGCAGTAGTCTCAAAGAATAAAGCACCTAAAATCTCTATACTTTATACCTTTCCTTTCCCAGTCATATTGGATGAATAAATAATAAAGATATGTTTATAATTTATGCTAAAATGGTTACTTCATTGTTAAAGTTTTTAGTGTTCTGAGGGTGGCCTAAGAGTAATAATAATAATAATGAACAAGTAATTATCATACACTTTAATGGCAAACTCCCATTTTGACACCTTCTGACAAAAACATCCCAAGTTTCCCCTTTTATGAAGTTAATGCATGATGTTAATTGTTGGTCTCACCTGTTTCTTTGCAGATGTCTCAAAGCATGTCCTCTATGTCGTCTCGCCATTCAGACAAAATCGCCATCAGAGAGTAAGTAAATACTAAAAAATAAATCCCATAGCATTAGCACGTCCTTACCACCATGACTTTTAGCTGTTTTATTATTAGCAAAAACCCACCCTGATTATTTTCACTGTAATTATACACATTATTGTATAATTACCATAACAGTGTTGTTTTCACTTTGCTGAATTCTGGGATATCATCTCTTTGTCTCATGGTCCATCTTTTTCTGCCTTTCAGTTTCCAGGTCGGCGATTTGGTTCTAATCATCCTTGATGAAAGGCATGACAACTACGTGCTCTTCACTGTTGGTCCCACCCTCTACTTTCTGCACTCAGAATCTCTCACTGCGCTGGACCTTAAACCGGGTCAGTTCCTGTTAAATACTTCTTAAATCACTTTTTAACCCTGTCGTTTTTGGTGGATAATATTCTTTCATTTACTAGAATAATAAGCTAAAGATCCAAATGAAAAACTAAACAATTGCTATGTTTAACTCTATATGCCATGATAAGCATCACAGTCTACAAATTGCACCATTTGTGACTAGTCCCCTCATCATGTTTATTATTTAACTTAAGTATTTGTTTCTATGTTAAGCATCAGGGACCTCAAGACGGCCGTGGGTACTTGGAAAGGTGATGGAAAAGGAATATTGCCAGGCAAAAAAGGTGCTTTGAACTTTTAACATATTTCTTGTCCGGGTCAAACAATGTTTATTTTAGAGAAAATAAATAAGAAAATAATTTTTATTTCTTGCTAGATTAAAATGTACTAATCAAGACATGTTTTTAGTTTGAAAAACAAATCTTTAAGGCCAGGGTTTCAAAGTTTTCTCTATGGGCAAGTGAAAATCTACTAAAACAAAACATTCACCTAGTTATGACACAGAAATTTTAAAGAAATGTCCTGACTGATCTTTTTCACTCTACAAGATAATTTTCAGAACCAATAATATTTTTTTTTATCTAAAGTTTTGTGTTAATTTAATATGTTTATGTGGTAGTTAAGAAGCTTGCTGTGATCATATAGTGATTATGTCATGAGCAGAGATGACGTCACACTCTGCCAGTCTTACTCAACGCCGTTCATTAAAATGTACAGATTTAAGATTAGTTAGCATCACAAACATTACTCTGTGTGATTTATTTTCTCATTTGCTGAAGTTTTGTTTTAAATCGTATCTTTTCAGTTGAATAAATGATCTATGTAAGAAAATATACTTTAATTTAGTTATTTTCTAGAAAGCTTATTATGCTTTTTGTAATTTCTCTGATCAGCACCTTGCTGTTCTCACAAGAGTTAACCAGATTTTCTTCACTTAGTTACAACTTCCATTCTGAACAGTGTTGATTCTGTCCAAAAATAACTGGTATATACTCCTTCACTGATTTGAAGAAAAGAAAAAACTGTACTTTTATGTTTCTAATAGACCGATCACTCGTCAGGGCCAGAAAAAGCACATATTTAGCCCATTTTTGTCACCAGCCAATTCCTCTGCGCTTCTAATTTGTTTGATCATAACTTGAGACATGATTGTTTTGTTATTAAAATCCTGGAAACTATTTCTCAAACTCTCTGTGTTTTTCTCCTGCAGGCCCAAAACAGGTTCAAGGTTCCTTTAGGTACCAAGTTCTACAGAGTGAAAGCCGTTCCATGGAACAGAAAAGTCTAATAGCCAAGTAATGAGCTAAAATGTATATTTATTTTAGGTTTTGAACAGAAATGTCTTAATTGATAACTTTAACATCTAAAGACAATTTGAAGATCATCTTGCAACATCATTTTTTTGTGTGTGTTTAAGTTCAGAATCTCATATTCTATCATGTTTTTGTTATTTTAAGTCCAGATTTTATTTTTTTGGTGGACCAAATGCTAATAACCTAATTGGGGCATAGCCCTGTACACTGTGGCATTATGCCCTCTGACTTGTGTGTGAAATTGAACAAAATTTGGATGCTAAATATTAGTTCTCATTATCAGCATTAGTCCTCTTGTGGAAAATACTGTCATTATCAGCATAATTAAATAAAAATATACATTCATTATTAATGTTAATGGAGGAATGTTCATGGCATGTGTATTGAAATATTTTCTTTGATTTACCTAACAGATAAATGTTGTAGTTGGAAATGTAGTTAATGCTGTATGTTACTCACAATCAGTATGGCTTTCTGTCAATACTGACATGTATATTATGACTGCGCGACTGACTGAAGGAAAGCAGTCATCTTTGCAATCCTTGAAATGCACTTTGAAAAACAATGCTTTTGTTAATTTGAAAAGGGAAGTTAATTGAGCTGTCAGAACTAAGTAAATACTCAGCACAAACTTCTCATTATCATAGATTATGGCTATGTAGAAAGGAAAACATTGTGACTGTGTTTCATTATCGGGAGACATTGTATATTACCCATAAAATCACATGTAACAAAAACTGACTGTATTGTAAAGGATAGAGTTTTGAAACAATAAAGGAATGATCCCCAATAAATTGAATTCTTTTTTTTTATCATAAAATTGAAGTAATATACAAATATATTAATACATAAACAGATGTTTTCTTTTAACTTGTCAATTAAAATTGCCTGAAAAAATTGACATCTCACCTGAAACAGAAAACGGACCCTTTTTATATAATTAGTGCATAACTCGTACATTAATGCTGTTAGAATTATCTGAGCATTCAGGAAAAGGAGGCATGATATAGTGTGCTCATTTGATTGAGCATTTTTTTTTTTCTTTTGTGGAAACATAAATGTTGGCACGCTGCGGCAGGAAACAGACTTCAAAAAGGCTTCATATCGTGGCCCAAGAACGATGCGGCCCTCATGGAGAAGGAAGCCCACCAACATCACTTTCCCAGTTCACAGCGGGGAGCATAGCAGCTCGCCGTCAAGCGCTCTCTACCATGTGGGTCTAGGGGTGTTTTAACAATGTTTAGCTCTATTTTCTCCATTTAGCATAAGCCTGTTGTCACATTTGGATGGCTCCTTCATAAATTGATGGTGTGATTCCTACAATTTCGGGACAGGCCTGAACGACAAAATATGCCACACAACATTCGATACCGAGGTGGCTGGCAAGCAGCAACCATGTGCACTGGACAGGCTCTTAGTGTAAATGTTTACAACCCCCCACTGAGCTCAGTGCTGCTGGGAGTCAGTCTCCTCAGGCTGAATGAGATTTAACATTGCCATGTGTAGTCTAGAGCTACTTGCACCATTAAAACTGCCTTACTGACTTCTTTTTCTAAAAGCTGGACACTTATTTCCATCACTGAGATATCTTTTGTAAAGCTCTAGCCAGACAATCTATGGAGATGTTTGATTTTTCACATCATGTAAAAGCATTGTTTTAATAACATTTCTTTCTGGTACATTTTTTTAATTAATTTATCAAAATAATATAAAATTAATCGCACAATTTATAACATATCCAAAAATAAATCTACATACTACTACTTTATCAAATAGATGTGTTTCAGTGTAGCTTTGTCACATTAAGAATACCTTTAAAAAAAAAGACCTTTACAGTTTTAATTTGTTCCCCCTTTCTCTATAAAAATGTTTTTTTCCCCCCTATTGGTTCAATTAAATCCCTTTTTTTTTTTTTTATATGTATTTGAAAGCTTTCGGTGGCAAATCGTAATAACCTCACAGAAAAAATCTAAAACAATGTGCATTATTAATATATTTTTTTAATGCAATAAATTAAAAATGCTGAAATAATGAACTTCTCAATGAGTTCCTATTGATCGAATATGACCACAAGTTGCAGAAAAATCTGTTTGGAAAATTCCCAAAGATAACTGCAAGCCCTTTTCCTTATGAAGACCGGGATCAACCTACTCAGTTTAAGGATTTATTTTGGCTTAGACTTAATATTATAAAATGGTCAGGAACGACCTATTTTCCACTTAGGGTTCTTCTTTTTTAAGAAACTAAAAGTAAGTCATAATATACCAGCATTTAATGTATATTACTTAGGCATATAAGTGTATATTACTTGGGCATAAAAGTGGGCATACAGAATAAAAAAAATTACTGAAAAGTTTAAATTCTTTGTTTCTTTTTAAAATTATATCTAAATTCTTATAGATTCCTAATAGTCATTGTTATAAGATGGCAGTTATTTAACATATACAAAACTTGAATTCCTGTTTAGACAATTTTAGTTGAATTGTAGATGGATTATCTTAAGAAATGGTTTGGGAAACACAAAATACATATTTTGTGTTTCCCAAACCCAAAATATGTATTTTGTGTTTCCTTAAAAGAAATGTATCCCCTATTCCAAATACACTATACTGCCCTGTTGTCAATATATTGTCAAACAAAAGCTGAATAAAAATGTATTTAAAAAACAACTTAACTTGCATTAATTAATCATTAGGCATAAGCAGGTCGATCATAAATGTATGGTTGTTCAGATAAAGGAATAATAAAAAAAAAAAAACAGCCCGATCTGGCAGTAAATGAATATCTGATTTATTTACATGTATCATTTTTGCAAAATGAATTATATGGAAGACTCTTGTTAAATGTATGATAAACTAATACTAATTGTAAAAGCTAAGTCACTTGTAGTTTTTTTTGCCATTAGGTGACATGCTACAATTGTTTTTATATTGTGAGAAATAAAACATTAATTTGTTCTTAAAACACAAAAATTAAAAAAAAAAAAATTCCACAATTAAGTAAGTTTATCTGCTCTTCATGCAATGTTTAATCTTGGCAAAGTTGCAGCACAAATGCCTTTTTTATTTAAAATATTGAGAAATAAACTAATATCTAACATCAGTTTTAGGTTCACTGTAGATAGTTAAAGTATAAAGTGCATGATCCTCCAAAATGTTGACATAAAACAAAATCATATGTTATTTTCATTTTCATTCCTGAAAATAATTAATACACTTCTGATGTATTTTTACATCAGAAGTAAAAAGTAAGTAAGTTTTATGTGAAATATTACATTTTTTTATACATTATAACTAACCTAAGTCTAAGTCACCCAAAGTTTTCTTTTTAATTTCTGTCTTTTGTAGATGAGATTTCTCCCAAACAGACTTCATGGTATCAATGACAGGTATTCTCCGACAGGTTTTAGACATCTTTAGATGATCACAAAGACACAATAAAATTCCTTCTCTTTGCTTGTCAATGCTTTACTGAAGGCACTAATTTAAGATTTAGATGAGTAAAATCGGAAATTCAAAAAACGATGTCAGACTATTCACAGGGAATCTCTTCCAGACTGAGATGGTGGTCTTTGTCACTGATAAATTATCTCTTCCAATATAATACACAAGTTGCATTCCTTATTCCAGTATCAGCGACGGTATTTGCAGATAGATGGTTCTGCAAATAAACAAGCATTATTTGTGGTGTAAATATATGCATGAACTTCAAATGATGGATAAATGAAAAAATAAATAGGAAAGCCTTAACATAACAGTTATATTTTTGAAATCTAAATGGAGCGAGTGCGCTGAAGAAGAGCCAGGAGGCATTAAGGCTGAAACTGCAAACCAAGGAGTAAATCGACTTAATGCCATCACATTTCCACCCCATTCATGCCTAAGAAAAGGGTTCGGGAAAGAGATTAGGTTATATATCTGCTGTCAGGAACTGAAGAGACCAAGTAGAGAACTTCACCTAAACAGAATGATGATCAAACAGACATGCTTTAACAGACATGCTTCATAATCTCATCCGTTATTGTCCCCCCACCTCGCTGCCTCGACTACAGGTTCAGTGGCAAATCTGAGACAGGGGCAGATTAAACGTGTGATGAAATGTCTGAGAAATATGTGAGAATGCGCAATGTAAGAACGGTTGATTTTCTACCCACATGACGAACATAATCACTATTAGTAACACATATCTACATAAATATGATAATTCAAAATTTAGAGACATTCATTGGGTTCAGATTGGAAATCAGAACCATCTGATGGCATAGTTTTATGGATAATTACTGCCACAGAGATAATGCAGCATGTGAAAGAGAAGCTTTGAGGTATCTCCACTCGCTGGGAAGAGAGAGTGCGTAGGTTTCAGTTGTGCATCTGAGCTGTACCCAAAAGGCAAATGTGTGGAAAGTTTGGTGACAAGCATCCAGGCATGCGGATAACAAGATTGCATCTGGTGAGCAGAAAGTGGAGGATATAGCCTTTACTGTGTGCTTAAAGAGCAAATTATTTTCACATTAAGCTCAATGGCGTCAGTAATCTACCCAAATATAGACAAAACTATTTCATTTCCAGCGAAAAAAAATAATTATTCAAATACCCTGTAGTGCAAATCCCCTTAATTTAGTGCATGACACAGTTTTTTGATTCCCCACTACGGAACAAAAAGGAAAAGAATCCAGGGAAACATTAAAATCTGTTGTTTTATTTGGTAATCTGGCTGCTTACTGACAAGAAAATAATCAATACAAATAGTTCTGAAGTGTCTGAAAATAGACAGGCGATTTAAAACTGTAACTAACAGCCATGCATTTTCCAGCTGCATTGCAGTGTTGAGGAAATGACACCAGCTTTGATGGGCTGTATAGCTTTTGAGATGAGCCTCTTTATGCCGCTTGCAGTTCCATTATGGCTTTGTTCGAAAGCTTGTTTACCTGCTGATAACATACACTGGTGGATTCAGGAGCACCGATCCAAAATCTGCTGCCAAAGTCACTCAAGTCTCATTGTACTGCAGGAGGGGAAGAATGAAATGTTTATGCGGAGGGGAATGCAAATGCTAAATGTGAAATCAAACTATGGGACCAATAAGAGATCAGAATAACTTTGCCAGGTTTTATTTTTAGCCTAGTTGCAAGGCTGGCTTTGTGGAACACTCTTTAGTTTAGCCTCTGTGCATCTGTGTGCTTTGGTTTTTCACTCAGACGTAGAAGCATTATTCAAACAAACACTGAAACTGTCTGATTCTTTCTAAAAACGGGTTCAACCGAACAATCTTCCATCAAAATTTGGATTAAACCACAAAAACCTCCAAACTGACTGAAGACAGCCTGAATATGGTTCTGTTTTTCTGTGATAGAGCTTGATATCAAATTACTACGAGATCAAAAATTTGTCATCCAGTCTCATTATTGTACATCACTGAATTTTTTTTTGGATTTCACTGTTAGGGAATAAAAACCATGGTCTCGGGTCAGAGGAATATCCCTTTAGTTTGCATATTAAAGGGGATTCGATAGACCCCTGTTAGCCATGCATCCCCGTGCAGGCAGGTCTCCAGGGGGCCAGCACGGCCCCACAGACGGGAAACTAGGGGGCCAGGTGACCCTGTCTCTGAGGTTAGCAGGAAACACTAAAGAGGGATGGGCAGGGAGCTGAGGAGCCACTGAGTGCGACTGTGCAAGGCTGGTGATGGCAGCTGTCAATGGTTTGGAAGGAGAAGCAGACAGATTGTGCGTTCTGTTGGTGCAGCCAGTTCGCCACCTGGCAGGCTTTTCCTTGTTAGAACTTC